TATTTTTTAGATATTTTGTGAAGTAAAATTCCTAAACATGGGTGAATTGAAGAGATAATCTGTCAGTACAATTTTCAGTAAGCCCTTGTCTTAGGGTTAGAGCATCAGAATGCCAGTGGCCCAAAACTCATCAAGACAAGGTCAGGGAAAGCAAGTTAAAATAATTTTTTCCAGTTTATTCTTTCCTTGCTGAGCCAACAACACCTGAACCTAACAAGAAAAGAGCTAGGAATAAATTAATGAATGAATGTGGGAAAATACAATAATACTAACTTCTTAGACCCCAAAGAAAGTTATTATTGCTGTTCTGTTTACCATCCAATTCTGTTTTGTTCTTAAACTGTATGTTCTTGAACTATGTTTTTAAAGCATACTATAACATTTCTTTTCTATCTAAGGCCCAGTCTAAAATAATTTATATTTTGAACAAGAATGAAAGTATTTATAGTCAACTCAGTTTCTTGATTCTAGTCTAATTGGATTTAATAAGCTAATCATTCTTTTCTGGTATTTGGTCACATGTAGACTAGTTACTAAATAAATATTTCATAGATTGAAGATATTTCATAATAATGATGACACCAGTTGACTAAAATCAGACAACTTGTATCCCATGCACAGTTAATAGAGTGAATTTAAACTGAAAGTTCCTGAAACTGTAGCAAAAGGCTGCAGTTGTTCTGTAATTTGCACTACTAAAATTAGAGGCCTTTGAGGTAGTTGTGAAAAGATTCTAATGTTGGAAGAAAAAAGCTCAGAATGTTGCAAAACTAGAAATCTAAGTAGGACTGTTAAGCAAATCACATTGGAAAAGTTTAACATATACAAAAATTTTACATTCTTTTCTTTAGACATTGATCCCTTAGCTTTTACTTCAGTACTTATGTTGACTTGTATTTTAGCACATTAAAAAGAATATTTTCTAAGGAACAATGTCCTTTAAATATTCAAGGTATCACATGCTCATATACCTCACTTTCCTATGCTTACATAAATAGTGTAACTTCTCTTTAAGCTACATAAAACTCATTTAGAAATGTGATAGCTTGAACAGAAGAAAATATAATTTTACTTATTTATATTGAGTTGTAAGTACCTTATTGATTGGTAAGATAAAGGTAAGACAAAACCTGAAATAATGTAGTCTAAATGAAATGCAATGATGAGGGTAATAATAGTAATTACATGTAGAATTATTAATAATAATAAAAAATGTTTATTGAGTATTAGATACCAAGAATTTATGGACTGTATCATTCAACCAACCATGATAATATGTTATTATATAACAATGTTGTAAGATTGAAAGAGCTCTGTATTTAAATCTATACTTCTGCATATTGTAGATAGATAGAAAAGTCTATCTATATATCTACCTATGTAACCATCTACCTAACTACCTACCTGCATGTGTATCAATAATCTCTGATCTTTAGGATGTATATAAAATGGTAATAGTTTAGTTTCAGTACTCAGTAACAAAAATTAATACCTTTTCATTAAAGTAGCATTGCATTATACATTGCATAAGTTTCAGGTATGCATCATTAAAAATCTACATCTAAAAGTCCAACTGTATCCTTCATTATACAGTTGTCCCACTTTTTCTTGTTTGCCCATCCTTCCACTTAATGTTCCTATAGTGTCATGGTTTATTTATATTTATTTAGTTCATCTGTTTGTTTTCTCTAGCTAGAGTAAAATAATACAGTGTTTTGTTTCTCCATATGACTTATTTCTAGTGCTTTGTTATGATGTCAGTATACTGCAGTAACAATGGGGTTGCAGTTATCTCTTTGAATTAGTGTTTTTGTACTTTTCAGAAAATATCCAGAAGTAGATAACTAGATTATATGAAAGCTCTATATCTAACTTTCTGCGGAATTTCCAGTGATTTATAGAATGGCTGTACCAATTTACATACCTACCAAAATTGTACAAGGTTCCCTTGTCTCTACACCCTCTTCAGTATTTGCTTCTTTTGCATAATAACCAGTCTCACAGGTGTTTTGATTTGCATTTCCCTAATAAAAAGAAATAATGAACATCTTTTCATGACTCTATTGGTTATGTTTACTTCTTGTAGAAGTGACTAGTTAGATCTTCTGCCTATTTTTAAATTGTGTTCTTTGGTTTTTATTGTATAGTTCTACCTATGACTTCTTTATTTATTTTGGATATTAAGCCTTTTCTGATATATGGTATATAACATCTTTTCTTACTCATTCAGGAGAGTTTTTGGTTTGAGCAAGTTTCTTCTGATGAACAGCAATGTTTTGGTATGATCCAACCCCATTGTTTATTATTGCTTTTGTATCTCTTTGTTGGAATCCAGTCCTCAAACTCATCTGTAAGGTAGATGTGTTGGTGTATATTTCTTGTTTTATGTATTTTAGAGTTTCAGCTATTTCACATATGTACTCAGTTTTATCTTAATTTTTCATATTTTGTAATGTGCTTGTTTTCACCCTTTTACAAGTAGCTCTCCAGCCTTTCCAACACCATATAGTGAAGTGAGTTTTCCATTGTATGTTCTTGGTTCATTTATACACACACACACACACACACACACACACATATACATATATATATATATATACATATATATATATTTTTTCTCCTTATCTAAGGCTTTTGATAGCTTCAGTACTTCTTTGAGTCTTGATGTAGGCATCTTTGCATCAGCTAACCAAGTATTCCTTTAGCTTCATGTGCTTGTGTATTCAGTTCCCAGGTTAGGGCACTATTATCTCTGAATAATCTTTATTCCTTTGTATTTCTTTTCACCCTCTGGCATTCCCATATCCTTGTGTTCCCTTTTTTTAATGGAGCCATAATAGTCATAGTATCATAGTGCTGCTTCATTTTTATTTGTGTGCCTTTTGTGTCTGTCTCTTCCACCTGAGATTGTGTAGGCTACTATCTACCAGTTCATTCCCACAATTCAGCTTTTTTGTTTCAATAGCATTGTAAAATGTTTCCTTTTCTCTGCAGAGTGTCTCTGACTTATAGTTGCCTGTTTACTTTTGTTATTTTTTCCCTATTGTCTTATTTTGTTTATGGCTGCACTACTTATAATATGTAAGACCTGGAAACAACCCAAATGCCCCAAAATTGATGACCAATCAAGAACACACACACACACACACACACACACACACAGACGAATATGTATTTGTATACACACACATACACTAAACAGAATACTACTCGGCAATCAAAAAGATAAAGTTAATACCATTTGCAGCAACATGAAGCTAGAGGGGGATTATGCTCTGAAATAAGTCAAAAGGAAAAAGAAAATATAAGATAAACTAATGCCATTTGCAGCAACATGGATGAAGCTAGAGGGGGATTATGCTCTGAAATAAGTCAAAAGGAAAAAGAAAATATATAGGACTGTTTCACTCAACATTTATTTGAGTGCAGATTTTTTCCTTTTATTTTCTACTCTTTAAAAAATCATCTAATTGTTTTCACAGTGAACATTTGAAATGACAGAAGCAATTATGCCAAAAGCCTTCTCTCTCTGGATTCCAGTGGCTGTTTCACAATAATTAGATATCCCAGTGCAACTCTTATGAATTTTAAAGTTTCCATATTCAGTCTTCCATGTGAAGTGGCTCAATGTGTATTTCTTCATTTTCCAAAATAAGCCTTCACAGGTCTTAATATATATTAGTACATTAAGTGAGATGTACATTAGTTGGTCAGACTGCTGGATAGCTGGCCCCAATTCACAGGAAACCTGTTACCCATTATCCCCATTACTTATTTTCCCTGCCTTCACCACAGACACACACATGTAGAGCACTTTAATTATTGTGTGTAAGTACTCAATTACAAACCTGCTTCTTAGACTTTGTCCTAGAGTGTGGAGCACTAATTTTACCGATTTGTCAGGTTAATTGATGTATATAAGTCAGAAAATGTTCCTATTAAGCCAGAGACCCCTGTTCTGTGGACTTGCTTTTGTTCTTTGGAAAGTGAGATACAGTAGTCACAGAAGGCCTAAGGAACAGGTATTCACCACTGAAAAAACTGTAACTTGTCTACATTTTTAGACAATGTTTATTTATTTCTTTACTTTTTCACCTTCACCAATTTTTGGCGACTTCCTGCAGCACTTAGGCCAGTATTGTTGCTTTGTCTGTGGGCTGGGTAAAAGGCATGGAGGGGGCCTATTAATGTTTTGCTGTGTGGGGCAGGGAGCTTGTTTCTGGCACTACTGATATCCTTTTTCTCTGGAGTTCTAGACCTGATACCCAGTAATCTTTCTGCTGTCAGTGTACTTCAAAACTCCTGAGAAATAAGGGAATACATTCTAGTCCACTGTTCCATGTGGGTCAGCTCCTTGGCGGGGGATCGAACTCGTGCTGTAGTGGCTGTAGATAGCTTCATAGTGTTGTGCTTTATACTGCTGTACCACCAGGAAGGGACCTGCTGTTCCTCTTGAGATGACAAAAGACAGTTCTTGTATTGACTTCTTGGTAATGTCCTTCTTATGACTTAATGTCTTCTGTTAGCACATTTAAAATTAGCAAATATGATGTGGAATATGAAATCTTAAATGAATAAAATGCACAATAATATATAATGTAGAGTATAATTTGTAAAAATAATTCTTTGATTATTTTTAATATGTCAGTTCTAAATAATTTGTAAAATGTTTTCTCATCGAAAAGAATCAATTGGGCTGCTGGATGTTAATTTCTCTGTCACTTTACTGCTTTGCTTTGACTGAAATCTTAGATTTGAGAATTTTGAATTCTAATTGTCTCTCTTCAATGGTTATATGTTGCTTTTAGAAACATACAAGATCATTTGTATATTCTCAACAAATAAATATATTTAATGTCTGCCATTGCAAATTTATCCACAAATGAGTTCATTAAAGTCAAAGAAAAAAAATGTATAGTGATAAGTAATAAAGTCAATTAAAATATGCATCTTGGTTGGGTTTTATGTATTAATATTTGCTTGTAACATTTGTTTTCTAGATTTGGATGATCCAGTAGTAACTGTTCATCAAAGTATAGGTGAAGCTAAAGAACAATTTTATTATGAGAGAACAGTTTTCCTCCGGTGCGTTGCTAATTCCAACCCACCTGTTCGGTACAGTTGGAGACGTGGCCAGGAGGTGTTACTACAAGGCTCTGATAAAGGAGTTGAGATTTATGAACCCTTCTTTACACAGGTAGGAATTAAGGTATAGTATTTCCATCCAACTCTACTATGGTGTCTTCTGAATTCAGCCAGCATGCAATACAATTTTTGTTTGAAACTGAGAGTTTTCCAAATAATGACCTTTTGAAAGATAATTGTATTTTGCTGAATGAAATACCTGAAAACTCAAATATTGTAAGTACATTGTTTTGTAATGTGGTTGTTAAATTTAAAAATGCTAACTTTTGAAAATAATGTACCCTAATATATGTCTCTATCCATAAAGTTTATCCATGTTTCATTATGTAGTGCATGATTTACTCACTAATATTTTTTACAGAAATTATTTTTAGATATTTTATTTATTTATTTTTGTGTGGAAGAACTGGGGCATAGGCCAGAGGGGGTGAAGAATGAAGTATTCGCCAGAAAATTGGTGGGGAGCAGAACAGGCTATCTACTGAAATATATAGTGCTTAAGGGAGGGAGCAGCAGGTAAGACTGGAGAGGTTTGTGGGTCAGTGCCCTGGCCAGCATTCTGACTCAGGTTGCTGAGGTGACAGTGTTGAAACTTAGCATCTCATTTCTTAAGGCAGAAGCTTTTGATTTCTTCATTTAATGCTAAATACATTTTAAAGGAATAAAGATATATAGGTTTATTTGACTTTGGCTTTAGAAACTCTGTTTTTAAATTACCCTTTTCATTTTTATTCTTTACTTAAATTAAGATGAAAGCTTAAGTTTGTACACACTAGAATATCTAATGACTCATTAAAACTGTACTTAATAAAAGTACCTTTGAAGTAATTTTACATGTGATTAATGTATTATGAAATATCCTTCCCTAATGTGTTAACTGTGGGCTGTTCATAATTCTTGAGGAACATATTGAAATTTGTAGGAATATTTAATGCTGTAATTATAAACCTTTGTTTTTATTATTATTATTATTAGAAAAGAGCCTGAGTCTAATTTCAAAAACATGTTTGAGATCAAAATAAAATGTACTTGGAAAAATATCAAAAATATTTGTGAACATAAATTTAAAAAAATGCATATGCTATAAATAACATATAAACAGGATTTGACCTTATCATATGAGTTTTAAAATATCCATCTTCCTTAACTTGAGAAATATTCAATTTACTTTTTTAATATTAAAATATTCAGCTTAAGCTTAAAGACTGATGCATTTGACTTCTCAGTTCTCAAACTCAAGGTTATCATAAATTTGTGAATTTTGTAGCATACCATTTTTAAACTAATTTAGTACAGTTCCTTATGTTGTGAACAATTAATGTGTGTGAATCCTGTCTACTTTCAGGTTAGTATAACTGCCAGTATTTAGTGTTAACTGTGGAAAATTACGTGGTGGTGATGATGCAAAATCATTTCCACATATTGAAGGTATAGCACTTGTGAGATTTGCCAATATGTAATTCACTGAAAACTGTTGGCACATACTTGCTATTAAGTATCTCCTGGTACAGTATTGAAGTCTGTTTCCACATTATCTTTGTCCCTGGTCAAAGGTCTAAAACTGTCACCAGGTCAGACTTTTTCTCACTGGTTGGGTCTGGCCATCTTCTGGGAAAAATACAAATGGTAGGGCCGTCAGTGCCTCAAAAGAGAGAAACATCAACACATAGTTACAATTTATTCTGAGTAAAATGTAGGAAAAGGGAGAATAGCAGGAAACACATTATGTCCAGTGTTACAATTTTAAGACTATACTTGTTTTGGAACAAAGTAGTTCTCATCCAGCATACTGACAGATTTGCACTACACTGGGTTTGGATACCAGTACTAGCCTTTGGGTTCCGAAATAATTATACACAAAGGGAAGACACACTGCCATGTGACATATAGATATGGACAAATCTCCAAGCTTTAACTTCAGTGAAAAAAACAAACAAATGCAAAGTCAAAATCAAAATCAAGTTTCCAAAGCTAGGGAGGGACAACAGCAGAGATCAGGCTGTTCACATCACACTTATGGGTCCTGGACCCATGTGGTTTGTGATGCACCTTAAATTATATAAAGGACAAAATATCAAGTGAGGCTTAAAGCCTATTCATCACTATAGGGTTTTCAGTGTTTATTATGAAGTCAAAAGACATAATAGTATACATGGAAAGCTCCAATAATTTCATGAAAACACTAATTGAAACAATAAATCAGTTCAACAAAGTGGCAGCTTACAAAATTAATTTTTTAAAATGTATTCTTATCAAATAATAAACTAGAAGAGAAAGAAATCAAGAAAATAATCAACCAAAAAAAAAAAAAAAGAAAATCTAAGAGTAAATTCAACAATGGAGGTAGAGGACTTACACAGTGAAGACTATGTAACATTGTTAAAATAAATAGAAAAACAATAAAATGAAAATATATTCCTTACTCTTGAATTGAAAGACATGATACTTAAGTGGTCATCTTACGCAAGTAATAAAGATTCAGTACAACCCCTATCAAAGTTGTAATGACATTCTCCAAAGAAATAGAATAAACATTGCTGAAATTCATATGTGACTACCAAACACCCCAAATAGCTAAAGCAATCCTGACAAAAATAATGGTGGTATCATACACCCAGATCTCAAACTATACTATAAAACTTTAGTATTTGAAACAGTATTGTACTGGATTTAAAACAAAAAGATTCACACAGATGGAAATAGAAATGAGAGCACAGAAATAATCCCACACTAACATGGACAGTTAAACTATGACAAAGGAGTCAAGGGTATATATAAAAGAAAGGAAAATCTCTTCAATGAATAGTGTTTGAAAATTTGAACATTCACATGCAAAATAATGAAACTAGGCTACACCATAACGTGATCTCAAACGTGATCCTCAAAATGGATAAAATACTTGTATATAAGACGTAGAACCATAAAATACATTAGAAAAAAAAACATTCCATGACAAAGGCTTCAGTGATATCTCCAATAGCAAGAGAAGCAAAAGCAAATACTTATTTAAGACTATGTCAAACTAGAAAACTTCTACACAGTGAAAGAAACTATTTGTAAATAAAAATGAGAAAAAATATGTACACACTATCTGACAAAGTGCTGATGTCCAATATCTACAAGAACTTAACACAACTCAGCAACAGTAATAATAATAATAATAATAATAATAATAATAATAATCAAAATGGACTGAAGAGTTAAATATACACTTCAAGGAAGACATACTAGTGAGCAACAGGCACATGAAAAATATGTTTGTCATCACTAATGTAAGATAGATGCCAATCTAAACCATAAAGAGGCAAGATCTTGCACCTGTGAAAATGACTCATTAAAATCTCTAGAAGCAACACATATTGGCATGGATTTGGAAACAAAGGCATACTTGTGTGTTGTTTGTGGGAGTGTAGATTAGTGTAGCCCTTATGAAAAATAGAGATTCCTTAAAATATTGAAAATAGATCTACCATATAATCCAGTAATTTTTACTCTCAAAAAAAATGTAAAATGCTATTTAGAAAGGATATATGTTCATTGTGGCAGTAATTATAATATAAAAGTTAGGGAAACAAAATAAGTGCCCAAGAACAGGTGAGTCGAGTAGGAAGATTTGGTTTATATACACAATTGAATACTACTCAATTATATATATAAAAAAATTGCTAAACTCTTGCATTTGCAACAACATGGGTAGAACTGGAGAAGATTATACAGATCAAAATAAATCAGAAGGAGAAAATCAATATCAAATGGTATCACTTTTATGTGGAATATAGAGAAAAAAAAAAGGGTCAGATAACCCAAGCCACCCACAAACCATAGAAATATGACTGTTTTAATTGAGGCTGCCAAAGTTGGGGAAGAAAGAAAGCAGGGTTGTGAGGTGCATAATGGAATGAAAACTATGCGTGCAATATTAGGTATTGTATGGTCAAATTCACCTGAAAGATGAGATCCTGTGTATCTGACTTATGTACATTGTTGCAAACCAGTGTGGCCTCAATACAAAAATGAGTTTTTGTCTTTCTCTTAAACATCTGAGATCCTGGACAGAATCACAGTTTCAATGGGATTTGGTTTCCAAGTCCTGGCTACTAGGACTTTCTTGTTTGTGTGTTTGTTTTTTAATCTGGAGTGATGTACCCAGGGTTTTATATTTAAACTTTTTTTAAGAACTAGGGTACAGGCCAGAGGTGCAGGGGCGGTGAGAGGATTCAGAGAGAGTGGGGAGCAGAACAGGACAACTGACGAAGAACACTGCTGAGGGGAGCCACAGGTGGGTCAGGAGAGGTCTGCCACGCCATGTGGGTCACCTCCAGGGCTGGGGACTGAACTCATGCTGAAGTGACTTTAACTTCTTAGTGCTGTGCTTTAACCCGCTGCACCTCCAGGAAGGGCCCTATATTTAAACTTTTTTAAAATGTATGAATGGTAAACAAAAAGGACTAGGTCATTTTTCTGACAGTTTGAGCTCTTTAGTAAGACCCAGTCACTAGTCTGAAAGGATGCAGTGATTCATATGAAGGTATAAGTATCCTAGTGAGTGCAAAGCTAAGAGTTTCAGCTAAACTTCCCTGGTTTTTAAGTACTATTCAATCCTACATTTATGTTCTATGTCTGATGCAATACTCAAAAGTGAAGCTTAAAATGGTCTTTTTTTTTTAATATTATTTTAAATGGACTTAAAGGTAGTGAACTTTGGAGGAGGGTGATGGACAGTAACTGATCCCAATGCAGATGTGTTTGTTAGCATAGTTTTGCTACATTATTCTTTAGACTGTGTTTCATTTTCTCAAATTGCCCTGCATAACGTTCAATAGTTTCTAAACAGTTAAGAGTGAAGATTCCATTCTCCTGATTCTCTGCATTTATTGGGAGCAAGGTAGCTAGGTTTAAGGAGCTACTCACTCAAGTGATTTGGGGATTCCCCAATGAACCTAGTAGTCAACCAGAATCTACCTTCTGTACTAACAATATCAAAATAAATTGTGGAGCATACACTGTGTTGGACTGAGATGAAGTACATTTTTTTTCATGGACAAGGTCACA